GAGTGTTTATGATTGTGAAAGGAGTGTGAAGGAAGAGTGTGTAGGAGTGTGTACGAGAACTGTGTGAGAGGAGTGTGTGAGGGGTGTGTGTGAGAGGAGTGTGAAGGAAGGAGGAGTGTGTGAACTGTGTGAGAGAGCAGAATAAAGTGGTGCTCATGTCTTCCTTCATCACAGTGATAATGTCATCATCATCATCATCATCCCCTGCATGAAGCTAGTGTCAGCCAAACCTGCTCTGAAGAGTTACAATAGAATTTATTGCCATTTGCACAGATTGCAGTAGAAGCACAGTGGAATTCTTATGAGTTTCTCCAACTTAAGAATAGTAAAAGTTTATTAAAAAAAAGATAAAAAATAATAAAGATAAAATAGGCAACAATGTATAATTAAAACAAATTAAAAAATTTCTAATTTTGTTTCAAATGCTGCACATTTATCTCATATTGTGTTACAGCATTGAATAGTTCCTGCCCTCTTTCGTGTCCTGTGCCACTCGTCTAACAGTGGCTGGAAAAAACCTCCTGTGTAGGCGAGTCCTGAGTGCACTAATGCTCACAGGACTCCGAGGTCTCAAGTTGTGACCAGAATCTGTCCACTGGAACAAAGAGTGAGCAGGATGGTGTCTGTCTCTGATAATCCGCTGTGCTTTCCTCCGACAGCGCTGTATGTAGGTCTCTTCCATGGAGGGTGAGTTCCTCTCAGCTTCAGTCCTCAGCAGGTTCAGGTGTAGAAAGAACACACTGAATGTTTCTTAGCAGGTCCTCTTGATGTCCGTTGCTCTCTTGTGGGTTTTGTTCGGTGCTTGTGATCCAGGCAGACCCTCGGGTTGAGGTCAGACTGTTGCTTTTTCAGTTATATCTAGATATTTGATTAGAGGACATGCTGGATGTTCTCTGCTGCTGCAGACGATTTTTATCTGTCTGTAAAGAATTAATTCAAATAAATCAGTGTAATACCCAACACTGAACTCTAAACCTGATTCAAATGTAAGTAAATGTTTTCAAACCAAGTAGCACTTCTATAGAAACCAGTTTGCAGCCTGAGATCCCCAGCATGTGGACATGTAACCCTCCTAGGACAAACCAGCCACACTTTTATCCCTGCCAGTGTCTTTATTAGTTTATTTTGGTGCAGTCTATAAACACGTTTTCTGACAAAGCCCAAAAATTCTTCTTTTTTTATTTTGCCAGAACTTTTTCAAATGTTCTCATAACCTCACAGTAACTTTACTACACCTGTGTGTTCCTGAGGGGAAAAATCATCCACATTAACGTGCACAGTACATACAACTTTTAATCCCGCATTTTATGGAAAATTAATGCATTCCTCTCAGTAGCGTTTTTTTTTTTCTTTCATTTTACCTCTATCCCTGTTTTTGATTTTTATATTAGCTCACTAGTTGGTGCTGCACTTTTATATTAGATTCAGATCTCACCTCAGAAGATGTACCTTCTCTCAGCCAGACATTACTGCAGAGCCCCGCCTCTCATCTCGTCCCACAAACTGTCTTAGTTTGGATTTAAGGAGCAAAAAAATCACTTGTAATGTTCACAAGCAAACATTTGGTATGCAAGAGCTGTTCCACACATGTGAGGGCCGCAAAATCAGACGTTCCACGGTTCCACGGCTGACTGCTGCTGGCTTCATCCACAGCAGGATGTCATTAGAGTGGACAGAGCTCCCACAGCTCACTGTTAGATCTGGGTCAGGAAAAGGACAAAAACAGATGAGAAACTAGCATTTGTACCACAGGTAG